GGTTTCTCCGGTACCGGGAACCGAACTCACGACCTTGCGCTTGCCAGGCAGGCGCTTTTGCCGCTGAGCTAAATCCCCAGCCCCTAGCCAACAGAGTTTTGAAAGGTGCTAAAAACACGCTTTCAATAAATGACACTCATTTCAACAAATGGTGTGGGAAAATTTTATATCCTTTCATGAAGAAGAATGATTATAGACACCTCTCTCTCACCAGATACATATACCAGCTCAACATGGAGACCTGAAACCCTGAAACTATAAAAAGGAAAAGGAGAAATGCCTCAGGAAAATGCAAGGAGTGAGGATTTTTTTGAACAAACCTCAAAGCCCAGGAAATCAAAGCATAAACAGACAAACAGGAGTATGGCAAACTAAAAACTTATTCTCAGTGAAGACAGTAATCACTAAAAATACTGTGGCGGCTGATTGCGTCAGTTTGAGTCTGAAATGCCCAGCTGAATCAGAAGAGCATGGTTCTGGGTGTGGCTGAAGGAGTTTACTGCAGACAAAAGATCCAGCCTGGGTGTGAGTGACAACAACCAATAGGCTTGTGCCCTGAATGCAATAAAAGGGAAAGGAAGAAGGAAGGCAAGCTTCTGTTTCTTTGAAGAGCTCCCGTCTTCGTGTTAAGCTCAATGTCATCTCCTGGCTTCCAGGGCAGACCTTTCAGTCTCCAACTCAGACACTTCAGCCTCCTGATACTGACTCTTGCAGGACACTGCAGTGAGCTCCAGGCCTCCAACTGAGTTCTTTGGATCCCCAGTACACAGACAGCCTTTTGCATTTTCCCTTGTCTCACCCTGCACGTGGTCTCTGTAAGCCAAGCTTGTAAATATTTCTATATATCATACTCAGTCTGTTTCTGTAGTTTGCAGTGATAGGGATACAGTCTACATAATGAGAGAGCATACTTGGTAATTGATGGAGATAAAAGCATTTGTATCTGACAATCAGTTAATATTCAGAATATATAAAGAATTCAAAAAATCAATAGCAAAAGAAACCACCAAAAAACAGAAAACCTGGATTGAGAAGGGGAGAAGACATAAATAGACATTTCTCAAAAGATAACATAGCTGTATGATAAAAGCTCCACATCATTAATCATCAGGAAAATGGAAATCAAACCTTCAAGGAGGTATCACCTCACCATGATAAGAATAGCTATTATCAAAAACACAGCTGGGCGTGGTAATCCCAGCACTCAGGGGGATGAGACAGGGGGATCCCATTAGTTCAAGGCCAGCCTGGGTTACAAAGTGAGCTCAAGGCCAGGCTGAACTGCATAGCGACACCCTGTCTCAAAAAGACCAAAATATAGCTCATAGTTCTTAACTGAGAGGAAAAGGGACCCTTTCAAAAATGACTTTCCCCAGATTCATATACCGTACACCATTAATGTTAAATACTCCTTGTGGGAAGGCAAAGGAGCAACATTTTCCTGTCCAAATCTTGTATGAGGGAGGATTTCAGAAAGTGAATGATGAATCTGGGACAGATTAGTACACATTCTTGTTTGCCTGTGAGAATTTAGCAAAAATTTAAGGGAAATTCTTCAATTAATCATGAAAGCATTTATTAACCTCCTACATTTTTCAACAAATAATGATGTGAGTACAAAAAAGCCCATCCTGACTTTGTTCCATTCCAATATACATCTTTCTGGGGCTGGGGATTTAGCTCAGCGGCAAAAGCGCCTGCCTGGCAAGCGCAAGGTCGTGAGTTCGGTTCCCGGTACCGGAGAAAAACCAAAAAAAACA